GCAGCCCCAAACTGGACCCAGTCCTCAGGTGTGGCTTCACAGAGGGAGAATAATCCAACACCAAACCTCTTCAGTACCGGGGCAGGTTTCTTCCCTGCCTCTAGTTTGGGGATTTTATATTATTTTTTTTATTTTTTTTTTTCTTCCTCCCAGAGGGAACCTAATATGTATTTCTTCTCCCCAGCTTTGAGAGCTGGATGTTTTGCAAGCCGGAGGCTGGTTTCACGGAGCTGGAGAAGAAACTCAAGAGCTTTTCCCAGAAGAGCGCAGTGCTGAAAGAGGTCTTGCTGGAGTTCAAGGGTGAGCGCTGGAAAAGGCTTTCTTTAAAACTTGGTGCCTTTGGAATCCACCTTAAGAGATGGAATACACCTTAAGAGATGGAATCCACCTTACAAGGTGATTTGGTTTGAGCTGTGCTCTTGTTCCTCCCTTGGGCTTGTTGGGAGAACTTGTTACCGTTCGAGCACCTGCTCATCAAAAATCAAAAGCTCCTCTTGCCTAAAAAGCAGCGTATTTCCCTCAGATTTCTGCGTGGAAGTCTGACGCAGCTGTACCCGGTTGTTCCCAACCCAGCAGTGTTTGGTGGCTTCCCCTAAGGTGGGGAGCGAGATCCTCGGGGACTCCCCATGTACAAAGGGAATCTAAATTTCTTTCTTTCTTTTCCCCCCTCAGAGAACCTCCGGTTCGAGCTGGAGAATGACACAGGTGAGCAGGATTTGGTTTCGGGAGTCCGACCTTCATTTTTGTAAGGCTTAATTTGGGAGTTTCAGCTTCCCCAGCCGGGGGGGTATCTCAGCAGTAAGACCTTCAAGCCACGCTTAGAGGTCAGGAGAGGAGAAAATTATTGCTGGTGCTGTCAAGGGAAGGGGGAAAAAATAACGATGCAGCTGCTGGGAGAGTCCATGAGAGGCGCAGTCCTCAATTTTTTTAGGAAACTGTGGGATTAAGAGGACTCTCCCGAAGCTGATCCGCTCTACCAGGAGACCTTTGGTCCCGCTGGTGGGTGTTGAGTTGGCTCCGGGGTGGACTTTGCAACCTTTGCGGTCGCTGATGATAATTCTGGGCTGTCGTTGGCGCCGGGGCATAGACCCCTCTCGCTCTCGGCAGTTTCTTCCCCCTCTGGCGGTCGTTTTGTGCAGCCCTAGTTCCTGACAGTCCCCCGAGGACGAGAGCAGCCCTTAAACACGAGGATATTTGCGCTCATTCCCCTCCAGCACTTGGCAGTGACTTAAAAAAACGTTCTTTCTGCCCAGAAATTTCTATTCCAGAGCGAGGAGGTGTCTCGGATGGGGCAGACCGGGGGGTTTGCAGTGGAGATGGGGCCGTTTCTCTGATTTAATTAGAAAGCCGAGCCTGATCTTTTGCGCTTTGGGCGCTTAAAGCTTTTGGAGGCCGCTTGTCTGGTATCGTCCTCGTCTGGTTTGGTGCAGAGACGATGAATTCCCTTGGGAGAGTTGTTCCGAGGAGGGTGGGAGAAGGGTCCTTAGCTTGCAGAGGCTCACGTCCGTGTTTCCCTCTTTCCAGGTGATCTCTCTCTGGACCCGGACACTGCCAACCCCTACCTGGTGCTGTCGGAGGACAAGAGGAGCGTGCGACTCAGGAGCGCTCCCCAGGAGCTGCCGGCGAACCCCAAGAGATTCGATTATTCCTTCTGCGTGCTGGCGGCGGAGGGTTTTGTAGCTGGGAGGCATTACTGGGAGGTGGAGGTGGGAGATGGAGAGAGCTGGGTCCTGGGGGCGGCCCGCGAGTCGGTACGGAGGAAGGAAAAAATCGACTTTGCTCCGGAGGAGGGGATCTGGGCGGTGGGGTTGAACTGGAAGGGAAAGAATTGGGATCAGTATCAGGCTTTCACCTCTCCGGAGACGCCCCTCTCCCTGTGCGAGAGACCCAGGAAGATCGGGGTGTACCTGGACTACGAAGGTGGGTGGGTGGCGTTTTACAACGCCGATAACATGGCTCCCATCTTCACCTTCACGGCCGCTTTCACCGAGAAGATCTTTCCTTTCTTTTGGCTCTTCTATGTGGGCTCCTCCCTCTCCCTTTGCAATTGACCCGTCCGGTTTCTTTACCCCTCTTCCAGGTGACCTGCAAGTAGCGCCCGATCCTGTCCACCCCCTTTTTATCCCCCTTTTTGCTTTCGGACAACCCCAAAACTCATGATTGTCCCTTGTTCGCCTTTGGGGTTCACTTTTTTGTTGTTGTTGTTGTTGCGTTTCTCTCTTTTTTTTTTTTTTTTTCCCCTGGGGCATCAACCGTTGAGGGCGGCTGCTTGAAGAGCCTCTAACGTGGGGTTATTTCCCCCGTTCCGGCCTTCTGTATGAGCAACCCTTTATATTTTTCGTTTTGTTTCGTTTAAAGCTGGCTGCCCCGTGTAAACGGGGACGTAACCAGAGAGGAAAAGCTTACCCCCGCGTTGAGCCGTAACCAAAACCGCCTGTTTTCCTGCAGTTCCAGGGCTAGAAAAACCTACGTGAGGAGGAGAGGTACCGACCCCAACCCCCTGATATCCGAGACCGTCGCTCTGCAGGTCACCTTTTAGCTTTTTCACACACACC